GCTCAGACCCTTGCCCCTGCAGGAACAGGCCTGCTCTGAGTCAGGGCCACGTTCGTTCACACTAGGGAATGAGGGGAAAGGATGGTGGCCATAATAGTCCTGAGGACGGGCTTTGGAGGTGCATGCCATGTTGGGTCAAGCACTCGCCTCCGAGAGTCTGAGGCCGCCACTCTCGGTGCTTCTGGCTGTTGGGCCCCAGAGGCAGCTCTTATACTGGGCTTCTGGGGAAGTGGGGAGAGGCCAGGATGATTGCCCCTGGCTGGGGTGGAGAGCAGAGGAGCTGATCAGAAGAGTTTTGCTCAGTCCTCCCACCGTTGAGCTCGCTGTCTGCTGGGACTGCAGAGACCTACCTCCCGGGGCCCCCTTCTCATGTGGGTACCCAGACGCCCTGGTGTGCTCAAGAAGACCCCGGCTGACTACTGTCCAGGCATTATTACTGCCCCTAAAGTGCCCCAGTCTGAACAACACTCCTTAACCCCAGGAGCTGCCTTCGTCTGGCCAGTAACCCAGCTAATGAGGTGGGGAATCCCAGGGAGCTAGGAGACCATGTGGGGGGGGGGGGGGCAGGTAGGAGGCCGCCGGGAGCCTCAGCCCTCCTGAGCGCTTATCGAGACCAGGTCCTTTCCATGCTTCACATCCCTGAATCCTCACCTTCACCTCATTCCATGAGAAGGTATGCTTATCCTTTCTTCACAGTTGTGAAAAATGAGATTCAGAGAGGGAAGGCAACTTGCCAAGGTCGCACAAGAAGTAGGAGAACTGGGATTTCTAAGTCTTTCTGGCCCGACACACTTCTGTCTCTCTCTGACTCTCCGTCTCTGTCTCTGTCTGACTCTGTCCCTCTCTCTCCTTCACTTTCTTCCTTTCCCTCCCTCTCCGCTCCTTCTCCCTCTTTCTCATCTTTAATATGTGAAAGCTTTTATGCTCGTTCTTTTATGATGTGGCTCTAGATCAAGTTCTCAACCTTTGCTCTCTTGCTCCTTGGGGTGAAATCATTCCTTGTTGGGGGGTGGGGGCAGTCCTGTGCATTGTAATGAGTTTAGCGGCATCCCTGGCCTCCATCCACCGGACGTCAGTAGCACCTCCCCCAGTTATGATGATCAAAAATGTCTCCCCACAGTCCCAAATGTCCTCTGGGTAGCTAAATTGCCCTGGCTGGGGGATCACTGATCTAGAACTTGTAGAACATGCCATTTTGTCCAATCTCAAGCCATATCTTCTGGCCAGGAGGCAGCAGTTGCAATGGAAAACTTCATGCAGAGTCGTTCAGACACTCTGGGCCAGCCTTCTACCCGCCCCCACTCCCCGTCTCCCACCAGCTCTCTATCACCACCAAGGCCATGACTAGGGGGACATGAGCAAGGCACTTGCCTCCATTGCAAAATTTAAGAGGGCACTAAAGAATTCAGTAGTCAAGAGAAACAATATTTTAATGTGATCTTTCTTAGAACTCAAGATACATGCAAAAAATCCACGATGAACAAAATAGCAAACTTTTAATCGATCAAGCTCCGGCCAAATGAACTGTAATCCAAGAAGAGGCCAGCAAGTGCTGAGCCCTGACTTTGCTGGATATTCCCACCAAGAGCTAGAGGACTTGTTGGGGTGGGTGTCTCAACTCTGTGCCTTCCTAGCTGGGCAATGCATATTTGATTATCGGATTCCAGCCCAGCCCTCCAGTACCCAGAGCACCAGACAGGGAGCCCAGAAGGTGAAAAGGCCTGGGTCCTCCCCTCCTCTGCTCTCTCAGGGGACCTACAAATGGAGAAATATCTGAGAGCTCATTTCTGCACCCAATTGCAGGGTAACGGTCTTGCCCCTTATCTCCCCAGCCCAACGGACTTGACTCTCGGCTTCTCTTCCTGATTCAGAGACTGGGGCCTGGGCCAATTCCAGGCCCCTAAAACCCAGTCTCCAGATTTTGAACTTGAGATCTCCCTAGTGGGAGGGCTAGACCCCCTCCCCATTTTTCTAACCCATCCTGGGGCCCAGACAGGGGTATCATTTCATCAGTGTTTGGGGTGACCAGTAAAGTCAGTTAGCACCATGATAAGTTTTACATGTGTCTTTTCATTGGAAAGTCCATTTCATAGGTGAGGGAATGGCATCTCAGAGAGCTTAAGACACAGCAAGTCAGAGACAGGCCTAGACCCAGGCCTTCGAGCCTCTCATCCACCCCACGCCTCCCTTCCCTCTGCCGCCTCTCATGGACCTCCCTTCTCTACAACTTGCCCCTCTCTGCATTCACCCCACTTTCTTTACACACAAACCCTGGGCAAAGACAGTGCATTAACTTTAGTGACCTCCTCACTGACCACAGTGAAGCTTGTCTGATTCCAAAATAATATTTTTGAAGGTCCACCACAGACCAAACACTATGTCTCATTAAGGCTTTTATCTCCACGATCCTACGTACTTAATTTTTACAATCATCCTGCAAATTAGGTATTGTCATCTCTAGCCTCCATATCTACTGCTCGAGCTCAGAGAGGTTAAATTACTTGCCCAAGTAGACACAACTAGTAAGAAGCGGCACGTGTGACCCTTGTCTGTCGGACTCCCACATCCTTGCTTTCTTTGATAGGCCCAACTGTGTTAGCCCCAGACATTCTGGCTAACATGTCCAGCATTCATGAGACTCCAATCCTCTGGCTTACTGTTAGCACTTCGATTCCTAGGGGTTTCAAACACTGCCTCTTGTCTCAAGATTCAGCCCTGCCCCACACCGTGCAGAGGGCGGGTCTCTCTGTCTTGAGGGGCAGCGTAGTGTGATGTGTCCTGGAATCAAGAGTCCAAATGCAGCCCGTCTGTCATTCTGTTTTCTCATCCAAAAGCAGAGGCTCATAGCAGGACCTCCATCTAATGCGCCAAACTCCCAGAACAGTGCCTGACTCATGGGGTTGAGAGGTGGCCCTTGTCAGGAAGCCAGGCCTGGAACTGTGACCCCAGTCAACAAATGAGCACTGTGTGTTGATTGAGCTCCTGCTCTGTGCTTTGCAGAGTGTAACGAACTCCAGGGATTCCGTCCCAAAAATGCAAGTTAGCTTCAGAGAGCTTAGTTAACATTTTGTTGGAGATGAAAAAATGACACACAAACCCACACTTGGGGATGCAAGGCCAGTCCTCTTATTTCATTTTTTACTTTTATATGACTTTTCTTGTGGACATATAACATGCATCCTATAAAGTGGACTGGAGGGTGGGCTGCTCAGGGAATTTTCACAGAGTGAATGTACCCTTGGAGCCATGCCCAGATCAAGACCCAGAATGTTTCCAGGAACCCAAATGCCTCTTTCATGGCTCCTTGACATGAATCCCCCACAGGGGATCTCCATGGACTGGAAGGCCCACTTCTGTCACAACACACAACCCCAACAGAAGAGATCGGTGAGGACCAAGACCAAGTCCACTTACCACTTAGCGTAAAGCCTGGCACCTAGTAAATGCTTAATCAATGGGAAGTAGTGTTACTCTTTATTAGGTATATTGGAATATAGGGAAGCCATGCCTTCCCACAGCAGAATATAGTCTATGAGGACAAGGAGTGAAAGTTCTACTTAAGTGGCATCCTCCCCAGCACGCAGCCCAAGGCTGAACCCGGAAGAACATCCCAGAATTCCTCTGTCTTTGAAGTCAGCAGACTGTCATAGAACAGCAGTTACAATGGGCTTCAGTCTGATTTCTATCTTTCTCAACTAACTGTGCAACCTTGAGCAAGTGGCTTCCCCAGTCTGGGCCACACTCAAAAAATTCAGGTTCTTAATTTGCCTCTGGGATTCTAGATCCCTATGTATTTGAGGAGTCCAGGAGGAAAAGGCACTTTAGGGCATTGACACCTTATTTTCCGCTCACCTCCTTGGTGGAGTGAGGATTTGGAATGCCTTCCTTCCCCACCTCTGACTGGGACTCCCTCCTGTCCCACTGGGTGGGAGTCCTATGTCCCAAGATGAACCCAAGGGTCAGGGAATGTGTCCTGCCTCTCCACAGTGCTCCATCCCTAGGTGACCCTGTCCTGGAAGCAGTCAGTGCTACCAGCCACAGGACCCTATGGTTGAAAGAACACACTCTGGAACAGATGGCCGAGTCACAACATTGGTTGCCTTTAGAGGTTCTGCCTTGGGCCGGTCTTTGCAAAGGCCATAACTTCTCTAAGCCTGGTTTTGTACAATGGGGTCATAATTAGCGATCACACAAGGTCACCTTTGCAAGGTGCCTGCCTCAGCTGGGGGTACTTTGTGGGTGTGCAATAAGCAGTAACAATTAGTAGATGTTGTTGTGCTTCTATTTCAAACAACTGTATGTTCCCGAATGGCCAGAAGCTGGGTCTTGTATTCCCAGGTCTTACAGAGAGTTGAACATGCTGTCTTCTATTGGGTTTCCCCAGAAACAGGCCCTGAGACCAGGATTTGAGAGCAAGTAGCTTATTTGGGAGGTGCAGGGACACTTGTAAGGAAGAGGAGAATTCAGATGGATGATGGAAGACAGCCAATAACATGTGTGCTGCAAAGCCAGCTGCCTCAGGGGATACCTGGAAGTTGATCCCCCTGGGAAGCCCTGGGAAACAGTACCTAATACGTGCCTTAGAATCAGTCCACTTGAAGGGCAAGGGACCAGGGTACTCAGACTCCCAGTCCATGTTGTGGACTGTTCCCAGGGACATGTTAATTTCCGGGCAGTTAAGGTGGCCACACTCTGTGGGAAGGAGAAAAGGCCCTTGGATGTGGAAATGCAAGCCCCGGACTTCGAGAGCCCACCCGGAATGAAAAAACAGGTGGGGTCCTGAGAGCTCCTGCTATTCAGGTGCCAGGAACTGGGTGTCGTGTGAAAAGAGCTACCTGAGCCCATTCTTCCATCTTCAGGAAGGCCCCACGGACCCCACCCCATGCTCCAGCCTCCTTGTTATGAGAGACCGAGGCGTGGGGAGGGGGCGGTCATTGCTGGGCAGAAAGTTCATGGGTGGGGCTAAGCAGAGAGAATCAATGACCAGAGGAAAAAAGAAGTCAGTTTCAGGAAAGCAGTTTTATTGCTGGGGGCTGGAAGCAGGGGCAGCAGGCAGGGGAGGGGAGGCAGCTACCCCGGAGGGGGCGGCTCTGGACTCCTGGCTGGGTCCAGCTCAGTAGGAACAGATGAAGGGGAGGCGCCTGCGGCAGCAAGTTACACACCAGCGACCTCCTGTGAAGGCAGAACAGGAAGGGACCTTCAGCCTCTGGTTTCCCTGGACTCAGCCCCAACAGGGCCTCCCTCGCCATCCCAGCCCACCCCTGCCTCCATGGAAAGGGAGTCTCAAGACTCAGCAGGCCCCTCCCCTGGAGGCACAGGCCCCTCCCAGCACCTCTTCTGTGAGCCCCTCCTACCCCCCCCACCGCCCCCCACCCGGTCCCCAGGTCTTCTCATCCCTTGTCCCCACTCCCACCTCACCTTGGGTACACTGGGCCACACATCTGCCACCCCTGGCCCGGGGCTGGCCAGGAGCCCAGTATCCAAAGTTCCAGCGACTGCCATCAACCCATTGAAAGCATTTCCAGGGTCCCTAGAGGAGGCAGGAGAAGAGATGGGCGGGGGCGAAGGGACAGCAGAAAGGCAGAGCTGGAGGGCGCCTGAGTGGCTCAGAGGGTTAAGCATCTGCCTTTGGCTCAGGTCATGATCCCAGGGTCCTGGGATCAAGTCCCACGTCGGGCTCCCTGCTCCTTGGGAGCCTGCCTCTCCCTCTGCTTCTCTCTTTCTCTCTCTCTCTCTCCTCCTCTGTCTCTCATGAATAAATAAATAAAATCTTTAAAAAAAAAAAAAAAAAAGAAAGGCAGAGCTGGAACTGTCCCACCCGGCATTTGCCCTTGATCATTGGGCCGTGATGGACACTGTCCTGGTCAACTGCAGTGCTGATCCACAGTGATCATCACCATCACATTCTATGCATGGCAGTGACACACTCATCCTTCTGGCCCGAACAAGAGGTAAGCAGGAGTTGCAACCCCATCCTAGAGATGCAGAAACAGGCTCACGGTCTCACCCAAGTCATACAGACAGAAGGTCAGAAGCTGAGCAAAACTTGGCCCCAAACCTCCTCACAATGAATCCTTGGCTCCTCCCAGTGCCTAGGCAGCCTCCTGGGCATCATGCCCCAGTTGTCCGTCTGTCCCCAGTTCTTCGGAGGATCAGAGGGGAAGCACAGACAGAGCTGCAGCAAGGTGAGCCCTGCCTGAGGTCCAGGAGAGCTCCCCACTTAGAGCTGGGACCCCTCTTACCCAGCCTACGACCCTGCCTCCGATCCAGACTTGGCCCTGGTTGAGCCCTCCGACTGCGCACTGGATCTGGTGATTGAAGTAGAGGCTGTGGATGGAGACGAGGTTGCCCCGGTAGCACCTCCGGCAAATAAACTGCAGGGCAGGGTAAAAGAGGAAGAATGGAGTGCCCTCCTCAAAGGAATTCATGTGACCTTAGTCTTGGGTCTCTAAATCTCCAAACTTCATCTTCTCCACCCCCCATGCCCACCTCCACAGCCATTTGAAGGCTGGAGATCTATTTCCACATGCCACTCCCCTCTGACCCCGACACCTGGGCGCACCCCAGCCCCTGCTTATGCCCCCAGGCTCTCCAGTGAGGCAAATAGTGATGCAGAGGCTGGAGACATCTGTCCCCGCCCCCACCCCAGGCCTCAGCCTCAGCCCCAAGACCACTCACCTGAGCTGAAGAAAATCTCTTGGGGCTCCTCACTAGGAGGAAGCGGGGACAGTTCTTGCACCCAGGGCTGTTCTCCAGTTTCACTGTGTCCTCTTCTTTAGGGCACTGAAAGTCCTTGTCCTCCTCATCCAGGGCTGAGGCAGACTCTACAGCCCCCTCCTCCTCAGGGGCATTTTCCCTTCCCGAGTACTCCTCCTCCTCTTCCTCCAGCAGCGCCAGCTCCCCCGGAGCGGCCTCCTTTGCCTCGTTTTCTGAAATCTCCCCATCCTGAGGCACAGGCTCATCTCCTAAGAAGCTCTCAGAGTTGGACGTTACAGTCCCTGGCAGAGAGAAATTCCAAGCGTCCCTTCTTCACATCTACCCCTGTTTCTTCCCAGCACCATGGACAGCATCCACCTTGACCTGGGCAACCGAGAGGTTCCTCAAAAAATTAAAAATAGAGCTACTATTGCACTACTCGGTATTCACCCCGAAGACACAGATGTAGTGAAAAGAAGGGCCATATGCACCCCAATGTTCATGTCAGTAATAATAGAAGTCCGCAATAGCCAAACTGTGGAAAGAGCCGAGATGCCCTTCAACAGATGAATGGATAAAGATGATGTGGTCCATATATACAATGGAATATTATTCAGCCATCAGAAAGGATGAATACCCAACTTTTACATCGACAGGGATGGGACTGGAGGAGATTATGCTAAGTGAATTAAGTCAAGCAGAGAAAGTCAATTATCATATGGTTTCACTTGTGGAACATAAGGAATAACGTGGAGGACATTAGGAGAAGGAAGGGAAAAATGAAGGGGAAGAAATCGGAGGGGGAAATGAACGATGAGAGACTTTGGACTCGAGGAAACAAACTGAGGGTTCTAGAGGGGAGGGGGTGGGGGATAGGTTAGCCCGGTGATGGGTATTAAGGAGGGCAGGTACTGCATGGAGCACTGGGTGCTAGAGGCAAACAATGAGTCATGGAACACTACATCAAAAACTAGTGATGTACTGTATGGTGACTAACATAACAAAATAAAAAAATGTGGGCTCTATCTCAGCAAAAAGATATTGTTTAGACACTGGGTAAATAAAGATTGTTAATGACAAAACAAAAGAGAGGAACCTGGAACGGAGCCAACAGGAGGAGACCCCCAACCTCCCTTAAGAGCCCATGTTGTTAAGAGCAAGGACTTAGATTCAGGCAGCTGTGGGTTTGGGTACTGGTTCCATCACCTATTAGCTTTATTTTTTTGTTTGTGATATGAGTACACAATAGTACATACCTCATGGGGATGCTATGATGTTTAAAAGAGATAATGCATAGGAAATGCTTAGCATGACACACTCAGTGAGCTCAAAGTAGAAGGAAGCTATTATTATATTCATCATTGGTATTATGCAGAAAGGACAAAATCGAGAATGTCACAGTGGAACAGAGACCGCAGACACAGTTGCCCTGGGGAGTCCCTTCAACTCCTGGTTCTAGAGCCTCTCTGCTCCTCTGAGTGTGCAAAGATCCTGATGTAGGGGGAGGGCCACCGGAAGGAGGCGGCTCTGTAGCTCCGACCCCATCTACTCTAGAAAGGAGCAAAGTGAAGAAAGAGAGACTGAAGGCCAAGGAGACTTACCCAGATGGAGAGTTGAAACTGCCCCAAATAAAAGAGCCAGAAGTAGGGGGACTTTCATCTTGGCTTTTGTTCTGCAATGAAGAACGCAGTTAGTCACACACACGCACGCACGCACACACGCACAACCCTTGGGAATGGGTGGAAAAAGAGAAGGCATGACTAGAAGTCCCTGAAACTCCAGGATGCTGGGAACCTGTCTGAATGGAGTGAGGCCAGACCACGACAGGTAGAGCTTTCCTGTGGATTTGCATGTGAAGAAGGGAATATTACCTTTATTGGTTTGTACTGAACGGACCCCTCAGAGTCTAAGAAATAAGAGAGAACCAAGAACCAATGACTGTCGGCCTTCCCAGCAACACATGGTCCTTAGATAGTGCTTCCCCGCCTCAAAGCTCTGAAAGCCACACACACTCCCATGTCCTCCACGCTCTTCCCTCCCCGGCCAAGGAGAGCTGTCATGTGCCTCAGAAGGAGTATGAAAGGCAGGGATGAGAAGAGAAGTCTTGCCCCTGCTAACCCCTGAAAGCCACTACACACAGTCCCAGCCAGCCCTGCAGAACTTCTCAGCCCAGGCTGGGCGCCTCCCCGGAGGGTGAACACATACCCGAAATCAGCTCCACCACGACAGGGAGAGCACTTACTTGCCCAGAGGTCTTCCTGGCTTCTGAGGAGTTCACAAAGCTCAGACTCTCCTTCTCTCCATCCCTCAGTGACATTTTATAGAGGGGTCTTGGAGGAAGTTCCCCAGAGAAAGGAGGTTTTCCCCAGCCTGAAGGAAATGGGAGGGCTGATAAGAAGTGTTTCCTCACTTCCCTGGAGAGCCCACTCATCTGCTTCCAGATTCTCTCCTGCGACCCCTTTTAGGAGGCTGGGGGTCGTTCTGGGCCAGCCTTGAACCGGTGGTTCTTATCCTGGGTTGCACTTCAGAATCTCCCAGGGAGCTTTTCCAGAATACACAGTTCCTCTGCTTCCCTAATGGGAACGTGAACTGCCACAGGCATTTGGGAAATACATCTGTCAATATCTATTAAGATTAAAGGTGTGCATGTCACTTGCTCAATTTCACTCTTCGGAGACTATCCTTTGGAAATAAAAGCACTTATAAGTAAGAACATTTTTACAAAGTTGCGTATTGCTTTCCCGTTTGTAAAAACAAAAGTCTCCATGAAAACAAGGAGCTGACTCTCCCCTGGATGGATAGGTGGTGAACAGAGGGGAGGGAAACAGGGCATTCCGGGCATAAGCAAAGGTGTAGTGAGGATGGAATTACCATGGCATCAGCAAAGGACAGTGTCCTTTCTTGCGTAACTAAAGTTAACAAAGTACACATTGGAAAGAGGTGGGGAAAACAGAGTACATCCCATCTTTTTTTTTTTTTGAGGTTTATTTATTTTAGAGAGAGAGAGAGAGAGAGAGAGAGTGAGCAGAGGGAGGGACAGAAGGAGAGGGAAAGAGAGGGAGGGAAGCAGACTCCCCGCTGAGCACGGAGCCTGACATGGGGCTTGATCCCATGACCCAGAGATCACGACTGGAGCCAAAATCAAGAGCTGGTCGCTCAAACCACTGAGCCTCCCAGGCGCCCTGAGGACATCCCATCTTGAGCCAAAGAATGGAGATATCCTTCCCCCCCGTGTCCACTGATTTAAGGAGACAGAATGCAGGAACCAAGGACATGACTCAAAAAACAGCGAAGACAAGGAGCTTTGAGCTGTATTCAGCCTCACCCCCGTCCCCAGGCCCCCCTGCAGGGCCACTTCGCCTGTTGGACAAAGCTATTACAGTGAGACAATGACAGGGTAGGGCCAATTCTCGGAGGCCAGTTGCTGCTCAGGCTCCCCAACCCTGAGGGAAGTCTCTCCTTTAAACCATACAATCCAGGGTCTGAAATCCACAGCTTAGTGGCCCTAGAAATTCCATTTCGTCAACATCCACTGGGGGGTTAGAGCAGCGGCTGAGAGCGTGGGTTCGGGAGTCAGACAGTCCAAGTCTGAATCTAGGGTCTACCACTTCATAGCTGTGTGACCCTGGACATGTTCCTTAACCTCTCTGTACCTCATTATCATTGTTGATAAAGTGGGGACAACTATCCCGACCTCATTGGGTCGTCAGAAGGAACAAACGAGACAGTGTGTGGGTAGCGGACATGCTGTGAGCCACCCAGCCCCCTCACTGCCTTCTGGTTTCTGGAATCCCACTTCCTGTGAATCTTGGTGGGGGGTAGGCCTCTTGTTCTTGAAAAGAAAGTGCCACATAGATTCCCAGCCTCCCTTGCAGCACAGCCATATGACTAGGGCTCTATCGAATGGAGTATCCAATCTTGGCATCTGGAGCTCGTGACCAAGAAGTGGGGGCCAAGAAGACCTCTCTCTGGTGGTGCAAGGGTGTAGACCCAGTTCTTGGGTGGCAGTGTCCGCAGTGCTGGGGGGTGGTCCAGGGTCCAGGCCCTACGCTGCCACCCCAGGGTCTGAATCACAGCAGCAGCTGGGGCCTCCCCACACCATCCTACGGCCTGGTTTTGGCCCCTGGTTCTCTTCCTGCAATTTTATTGAACTACCTTGTTTCCTTTTAATAAATTCATTTTTCTGCTCAGATCCGCTGGGGGAGAGGTTTGTCTGCCTGCCACAGAGCCCTGACTGAGGCAGCATTTAGCACAAGAACTAGCATGTAGTCACTGCTCAGTAAACGACAGCTACTTGTGTTCATAGGTCTAGAAGTGATCAACGTCTCTGGGACTGACCCACATTAATCAAATTCTCAAGAGACTGATGTCTACATCTGGTGCCAGTGACATAAATTTAGGTTGACTTGAACCCACACGGGGCCCACTTAGGGCCTTTCTGACCCGCACATTCCCTCCCTGCCTCACAAGTTCCAAATTTTGCTAAATGTGTGTCAATTTGTCTTACGGCATAGAAGAGTAATAAGATGGTGTGGCACGTCAAGACCCGGACCTTCCCAGGATGAAAGTTATAGTTAGTGCGGTTGGCGGAGGGGATTGGCACAGGGCTTCCCAAAGGAATGGACTTGAGGAGTTCCTGGAGAAGAATCCAGGGTCAGTAGGTCAGGAAATACGGGCAGAGAAAGAGAGGTTCGATCCAGGCCAGAGGTCCCCCACCCTCTCCCCCTTAGACCGTAACAGGCTGGGAAGTCCCTTCTAGTTCCAAGCTCTGCCCCCACAGTGGTGATGTCCTCCAGGAGTTGGACCTCTGGGCCTGACCAACTGCCTGGTAACTGGGCTTGGCCAACATCCTTGTGGGGCAGATAAGATAAGAGGTGGTGAAAGGCCTAGCATCATCCCAAGGCTGAGCCGCCCGGAGATAAGGACCAGGGCCGTAGCTCTGAGAAATCAGCCTCAACAGCAGCTGCTCTGACAATTCCCTCTTTGGACACCCCCGGGATGGACATTGACCAAGGCTGCTGGAGCCCAAAGGGCCCCAGTCCAGTCTCCACGTCTCAGCCACGGAGAGTGCCCCAGACTGGACTCAGATGTCCCCATTCCCAGATTCACTGCTCTCCCTGCTCCCACTGAGAGACTTTGCCCTCCATCGCCTCCTGGCACCTCCTCTCCCAGACTGAGTACTCGCCACGGGGTGGGCAACATTAAGTCTTTGCAGTCCGTGGCTCCCCCACCCCACTCGCTACCCTTTAGTATCTCCCCAGTCCACCCACTTCTCTCCATGTCCGCTGCCGCCTCCCTAGCCCAGGCCACCATGCTTGATGACATACATCAGAGCCCGACGTCCCCATGCTCCCCGTTCGGTGTCTTCCTTCTGCACTAACAACCGATCCAAACTCATGCCCACTGCCTGCAAGTGGTAGTCTGGCTCTTGTCTACTTGCCCGACCTCAGGGGTGTAAGTGATCCTTCTCAGGCTGGTTTCTGCTTCATGGGCCAAGCTGAGCCTTCATACTGGCTGCTTCTGTCTATCAGGTCTCAGCTCAAAGGTCATCTCGTCAGAGAAACTGTCTCGAGAACTCTTTCTAAAGAACCCACCCCCCATCCCATTCTCACATCAAGTTACTTTGTTCCATATCATTCCATGTATTTCCATCCGGAGCATTTACCAAAATCACACGATCTTGCTTACATATTGGTTTCTTGACGATGGTCTGTCTCCCCCAGGAAGAAGTAAGTTCCATGAGAACAGGGACTTTGTCTTTCTCATTTACTGCCTAGAACTCTACCCAGATCATAGAAGGAGTTTTCCAATTACATGTTGCATTAATTAATCAACTTGAACTTTACACCTGGAGAAACTCCAGCTGAGTTTCGCTCCGAGTATAAACCCATTAATGTTCTGAGCTCTACCTGCCATGGGCACAGCCCTGAGCCAGCCTCTGTGTTCTGTGGCATTCATGTATGTATTGGTTCATTCACTCACTTGCTCATTCATTCATTCATCCATTCACCAAATACTCAGGGGTAGTCTCTAGCTTAATGTAGCTAAGACAGCTAGACAAACAGAATGAACCTATTTGTCAGTAAAACAAGGCACTGTGTTGAGTGGACACTTAGAAGGACAGACCTTATACAAACCGGAAGATACAAATTTTCAGTGCTCCCGGAGGGCAGGCAGAGAGGGCTTCCTGGAAGAGGGGTTGCTTCGAGTGGGCTCTGATGGACTAATAGACAGGATAGGAGAGGCTGAGGAGGAGTGGGAGGCCCTTCTGGAGGCCAGACCATGGCCTGGAGCTGCTGGAATTTGAGCCAGGATATGAATGATTTGGTGTTTCCTACAGGTTAAGTCGAATCATGAGGGGCTTCTCTGCTTTGCCCCAAAGCCAAGCTCCTCCGACAAGCAGTGTAGACTTGGCGGCCAGTTCCTCAACCCCCTCTTACACCTCTACACCACAGTTATCTGGCTTTTGCCCACTCATTGCTCCACAGACACTACTTTTGCCACAGTCCCCACTGACCACCCAACTGCCAAACTCAAAGAACTGCTTCAGTTCTTACCCTACTTGACCTCTGTACTACATGACACCTCTTCCCTTCCTCCTTCTTAAAAACTGCCTTAGCAACATTCCTTCCCAGTTTCTGCTGGTGGCCTCCTCTTCCTCTTCTAGAAAGTTAAATATTGGCAATCACCTGGTTTCCTGGTGCCTTCTTTTCTAATTTTACACACTTTCTATGGGTTATCTCATCTACGCCCCCATTTCAAGCTACCAAATATGTACCGATCACTCCAACCCCAGCCCCGCTCCTCGCCAGGTCTGGCCATCACCACAGACTCACATATACGGCCACCCAGTAAGTTCCCAACTTGAATGTCTCACAAGCATTGCGAATTCAACACATGCCAGACTGAATTCACCCCTACACAAACACACACCCACATACGCACGCACACACCCGAACCCGCTCCTCTCCTGTGGTCACTTTCTCAGGAGAAACCATCCCCTTGTACCCAGACCCCCGCACCAGGACCCTGGGACCATCTCTTTCTTTGCGGCATCTCGTCAACCCCCAGCGCCTCCCCTCTGCTGCTCTCCCAATCCACTGCTGACCATCTTTCACCTGGATCATTTCAATGGCTCCAAATTACTTTCCTGCCCCAGCCTTATCACCTCTCCCCGCCGCTGATACTTGGTCCAGAGGCTGCCAAAGTGAGCTAGCTGTCTAAAGCTCTGCTCTTTCCCTGTCATGCGCGATCTCTCTGGCGTCACGCTCTTGCATCTAAGAATGCCCTTTCCTCCCTAACCCCTGTTCCACCCTTCCTCTTTGT